GTTCTAGGAGACTCATGTACTAGGACAGTATTCTAGAGGTTCCTGGAGACTCATGGAGGAGGGCAGTGCTCTGGAGGTTCTAGGAGACTCATGGAAGAGGACACTGTTCTGGAGGTTCTAGGAGACTCAGAGGAGGACAGTGCTCTGGGTTCTAGGAGTCTGATGGAGGAGAACAGTGCTCTGGGTTCTAGGAGTCTGATGGAGGAGAACAGTGCTCTGGAGGTTCTAGGATACTCATGGAGGAGGACAGTGCTCTGGAGGTTCTATGAGATTCATGCAGAAGGACAGTGTTCTGGATGTTGTAGGAGATTCACGGAGGAAGACAGTACTCTGGAGGTTCTAAGATTCATGGTGGAAGACAGCACTCTGGGAGTTCTAGGAGATTCATGGAAGAGGACAGTGCTCTGGGTTCTAGGAGTTTCAGGGGGGAGGACAGTGCTCTGGGTTCTAGGAGATTCATGCAGGAGGAGGACAGTGCACTGGAGGCTCTAAGAGGTCTAGGAGATTCATTGAGAACAGTGCTCTGGGTTCTAGGAGATTCTTGGAGGAGGACAGTGCACAGGAAGTTCTAAGAGATTCATGGAGGAGGACTGTATTCTGGATGTTCTAGGAGACTCATGGAGGAGGACAGTGCTGTGGGGGTTCTAGAAGATTCATGGAGGAGGACAGTCTTCTGGGGGTTCTAAGAGACTTATGGAGGAGGACAATGTTCTGGAGGTTCTAGCAGACTCATGGGGTAGGACAGTGCTCTTGGGGTTCTAGGAGATGCATGGAGGAGGACTGTGTTCTGGAAACTCTAGGAGATTTATGGAGGACAGCACTCTGGGGGTTCTAGGAGATTTATGGAGGACAGCACTCTGGGGGTTCTAGGAGACTCAAGGAGGAGGACAACACTCTGGGTGTTCTAAGAGATTCATGAAGGACAGTGTTCTGGAATTTCTGGGAGACTCATGGAGGAAGACAATGCTCTGGAGGTTCTAGGAGACTCATGGAGGAGGACAGTGTTCTGGATGTGGTGGGAGATTCATGGAGGAGAACAGTGTTCTGGGGGTTCTAGCAGATTCATGAAGTAGGCAGTGATCTGGGGGTTCTAGAAATCTCATGGGGTTTATTACGTCACTGGTGTTTGCTGCATCCCATCCTCCTGGTGTTGAGAGAGCTCCTCTGGGTGTATCTGCAGTGTCCTGACCTGCCTCACATCACTGGCGCTTGCCGGCAGTCTTGCCACACTCTCCATGGCTTCCCCTGGCTTTCCGCCACGGGGCAGCAAGTCCTGTGTAAACACAGGGTGAGTGAGCTGAGGTGAAGAGCTGCACCCCGAGCTCAGTGTCACGAGGGACAGACTGGCTGGCCGAGGGCCGAGCGGCGCACCATGGAACTGGCTGGCAGAGGGCCGAGCCACGTGCCATGGAACTGTGGCTCACTCGCAGCCTAGGGGTGAAGTGGAGGGCCTCTCCTTTGGTTTGCTCCTTAGGCATCCCGTTTTCTGTGTGGTGAGCTGAAGTGCCTGTAGAGGAGCAGAGTGTGTGTCCCTCCTGGCGGTGGTGGGCACCCTCATGGACCATGCTCTGAATGCCTTTTTTATTTTTGGGTCCGGTCGTGGGGCCTGAACTCTGGTCCTGGGTGCTGTCCCTCAGCTCTTCAGCTCAAGGCTAGCGCTCTACCACTGGAGCCACAGCGCCACTTCCGGCTTTTTTTTTTTTTGCTTATGTGGTGCTGAGGAATCGAACCCAGGGCCTCAGGCATGCAAGGCAAGCGCTCTACCACTGAGCCACCTCCCCAGCCCTCTGAATGCCTTTATTACACAGGAGGACCAGGGATCGTCTGAGAACTCATTTTGCCTGTTTGCCTGAAGGGCTGTGTTGGCTCGTCACCGGCAGTGCTGGTGGTCTTTACTCTGATCTCCAGCTGTAACACAGAATACAACGCCTTCTGTGGGGCCATTCTGAGCCCAGGGCAGCAGCTGGTGGCGTGGAGAACCTGCCGAAACCCCAAACACCCCGTGGCCCCAGGGACATGCCCTGCCACGGCAGGAGCAGACCATCCGGGGCCAGCAAGGCACCCGGGAGCACCGGCTTTTCCCATCCCAGCGACCAGCCACCAGTGCACTGTGCTAACCAGCGTTCACTTGCGTGGAGGGAGCAGGGAGGAGCTGACGTGGGCCGTGGGGACAGGAATGGGGCTGAAGTCTCTGCCCAGAGCCCCCATGGCCCCTGCTAATGCTGCTTCTCCTTTGTTCACAGCATGATCTACACCCTGGTGAGCTCCTAAGGCAAAGACCACACCATCAGAGATGGAGAGGCTGAGGCCCCGGCCCTTTGCCCTCGAGTTGCAAGCCCGGCCGGCGTGATGAGCAGCAGACAGCTGTGTGTGTGTTGTTGCCCATCTGCCACGGTCTCTGCCACGTGGCGGGGTGCCAGAGCCCCACACCTCCCTTGAGAGCCCGCGGCAGCTGCTTCTGGATCCACTCCACAGAACAGCTCCTGCCACGCTCCCGGATACGGAGACTGGAAGGCAGAGGGTGTGGCTGGGTCCAGAGCCTGGGGGCCAGGCCAAGCGACCAAGGGCCACGGGCAGCCGTGCGGGATGGCTGGCCACCTGGAGGGTGCTGCAGCCTCTCGTCTGCGGCTGAAGGCTGCGGGGCCTCCCGCGGTGGGCAGCCTGGGCAGGCGGTGCAGTCTGCTCTCTGAGAGCGGGGTGGTTATGTCCTGAGTGGAGTGGGACGGGAGTTGGCAGGCCACGCCCAGCGTTGCCGCCGGGCCTGGAGGGAGCCAGTGGAAGATGGATTTTGTAAACATTTGCACATGTTCAAGATGCAAGTTCGCCATCACAGGAGGCACCAAACCTGCCAGCGCCATCTAGTGCAGACCAGCAGCGCGCGTCAAAGCCGCCTTTCCACAAAGGCTCGAGGACGGTCCAGCCCGCAAATCCTGCGACGCTTTCTGTGCCGTGGACCCAGCTGGGGCGCGGGAGGGCGTAATTACCACGCTGTGCTCAGGTCAGGGTGCAGGAGCAGTGGCCCTGCTCCCGTCAGGATGGAGACATCAGCTGGTTTGGAATTTCCTGCCGGCTTCTCTCCTTTGCCGGCCGGGAGCTGTGCGGGGCTTGGATTTTGATGATGGTTAAATTGGGCACAGTGCTTTCCACCGATTCCCTTGCTTTTCTTCTGTTTGACCCATACATGCTATTTTTACTTGTGCCCAGCGGGCGTCTGAAGCCCATGACTCAGGCTTGTGAATGGTGGTAGTGTAACAGGCTGTGTGCCGTGTGTAACATATGTACACTAGGGACTTCTACCCCCCACCCCACCCCTGCCTGTGCCCTCCCCACGTGCCCCTCCCCTCCCCCCGTGCCCCTCCCCTCCTGTCTCCCCTGTGCCCTGTCTCGGGTGCCTTCCTCCCTGGTGGTGGAAGAGGCAGGACTCTCAGTGGTGTGGTGCTTCTCAAAGTTCTGTGGG